GCCATCTCAAAGAGATCACCGCTATATGAGTCTTCTAGGCTGGTTTACAGTTGTGGACATACCTCCTGTGTAGACGCTGATCCCTCTGAGTGGATCCATTCACGTCTACATGCTCTCTAGTCAGATTGCACTTTTTGCTGCATTAGGATGGTCTGTAACAGACATGTTTACCATCTTCCATCTCTGTCTAGGCTGTTAGCCTTATTGTATTATTATTGTTTATTAGTATTTTTCTTTTTTTTTTTTTTTTCACTTTCCTCACATATGTTTTCGGGGCTGCGACCCCCTATTTCCCAGGTTAAACCACTTTTTGGTTTTTTATTTTGTGTTATCCTAAAACCAAATTAAATTTACTATAAAAAGAAAAAAACTACTCCATATGTACCCACATTTATCTTCCCATTGCAATAAAGTGATATGCCCATGTGTATGCAGATAGTTAATTAGTTTAGAAAATAACATATATACTGTATAGATATAGTTCTACTCTTTTTTCATTTTTCAGGTTTTAGTCATTGAATAATATACAGATATGTTACCTTCAAACATCTAAAGATTGTTCTTAGTGCAGTTCATATTCACCTCTTGAATCTTCACTGCATAAAACTCAACACACTCCTATAATCAATCTTCTTAAGAGTAAGCCCTTTCTTGGAAAGCAATTTTATGTGGATTTTTTTCTGCTACTTTCACAGCAGATGCTCTTAGAATTCTTGGAACAAACCAATAGAGCCCACTTATGCGCTTTTTCTATATATGTCTATATATGTTATCTACATTACTTATAGAACACTCTTCTGTGTCTTGAATTGTCTTGAATTCAATGTTTAATTTATAAATTAATAAAACTGATAATCTCATGAGATCAATAGAAACAACAACATTCAATTATTTTCATGTGAGTAGCAGCAGCTGCAAAATAATAATATATATATTACAGTTCCAGAATATATTATTCACAAAGCCTCAGACCTGCTGTTTCCTAGGTAAGCAATATTTCTTTCATTTAAAGTACTGATAATTTGGTTAACAGTGCTACAGCAATTTTGTGGTGGAGTTCATATGCATTACATTTTTATTGTAAATATGAAATGAGTTTTTGATTGTCTTTATATGTTTTAGAACTTTCTAGAATACATATTTCCTGAAATGCAAATAAACTAAACACATAAGCTATCGATCTCCACAGGGTATTGCTGCATTTCTATGATAGCATGCATGCAGGTAATACAGCAAACAGAATTTCCCATTGAGGAACAGATTTTAGGGAATGTTACTGAAATGTGTACTGTGGGTTTGATTTACTAAAACTAAAGAGTGAAAAATCTGGTGTAGCTGCACATGGTAGCCAATCAGCTTCTAACTTCAAATTGTTAAATTTAGCTTTGACAAAAAAACCTGAAAGATGATTGGTTTCTATGCAGAGCTGCACCAGAATTTGCACTCTCCAGTTTTAGTAAAACAACCCCTGTATTTTGAATCTGAATGGCAAAAAAGAAATTGCCCCTTTTACATGGTGTGAATTCCGTTATGATCAGCAAGGGATCCACTCACAGAGCCCTGCTGATCAGAGCAGAATGGGCGGATGACATGTCTGTGTCCGCTCAGTGCTTATGCAGAGCAGATATGGATACAGCCCGCTCTGCTCTACAGGTGGAAGTAAACGGACCCCGCTGTTCATTTACAACCCTGCCCTCTCAGATTTGATTCACCTAAATGGAAGAGAATGGATCCCCTTCTGTTTTTGTTTAGCAGACTGGACCGGAGCTGGAGGTAGGTGGGTGTAAACGGACACAAGTCCATTTACACCAACCTATCCATAGGAATGCATGGACTTTCCGATCAGGTCCACCTGAAAAACTGACAAGAGGACCTGGTCGTATTGCCTGTGTGAAAGGGACCTGATGCAAATTTAACATTTGTTTCTTTGTATGCTTTTAATCAAATCTATCTAGCATTTAACATTTAACTTTTTTGTGATCAGTGTGGAACAAGGTCTTCTTCCCCTCAAAAAGATACATTACTTTTCTTCCAAAATAGGCCTATGGCTAGTAGTTTTTAAAGAGCAAACCACAATATATACTCCTTTTCTAGTATTCTGCTTAAAAATGGAACTATTATTTACATACATGCATATATTTTATACATCTACCGAGAGAGAGAGCCATAAAGCAAAAGAAAAAAAATCCTGACAATTTTTTGTCAATACGCTTTGTGAAAGAAATAATGTTTATATAAACCCACATTTCAGCATGTTTGGCATTGTACACGGTTTTCCTAATGGAAAACTAAACCTTTGGGGTGAACTTTTGACACAATGTGGAAATATGTTGCCTCGTCACATAGTTTGTGCAGTTCAATAAAGACACCGGTATGTCCAGTTAAACCTGAGTGTGTGTGATTGTGTGTGTCTACTTCACTACCATTTTCCTTATCCCTGCATCGTGTGTTCACTAAGAAAAGTTTTTTGAATTTATCTAAACTCTCTGCTGAAACCACCAAGTGTGGAAGGAAGCTCCACATCCTTACTGCTCTAACAGTAAAGAACCCCCTAAGCAGTTTAAGACTGAAGAGCTTCTTGTCTAATGTCATTGTGTGGCTGCAGATTTTTTCCTATAAAAATTACAGCCCTTACATTTGGGTGGGAAACAATTTGTCTGTGGCATCGCCTTTTAATGGAAGAGCACAAACAGTCCTAAAGTCTGGGATACAAGTATATAGTATATATACAGTATATATATTATATATGTATATTAAAGCAATTTTCTATAAAAGGTACAGATACAGCCCTTAAATTTGGGTGGGTGAGAAATGACAAGCTTGTCTGACATGAATTACATTTTACCAGTTGGTTTTACCGATGGACATCAACAGCAGCACTCCAGTCCAATATCTGATTATTTTAATTTAAAAAATATATATTTCTAGGTAGTTTTAGCAGCAACATGTGTGTTTTCACAAAGCAATACCAGACCTATTTTGCCCAGCAGAAGTTGTGTTCACACAATACTTTTTATTTATTTGATTTTCACCATCAGGACAAAATTCTTTTTTTCTTTCTTTTTTTTGATTGGAGAGACACATGGCTTCGTGAAACTCCAACAGACTCAAATGCAGATTTAGAAGTGACTAGAAGGTGTCTCTTCAAAAAATGAGAGCTTCAGCCCTTACATGGGGTGAGTAAACATTTGCCAGTGGAGCTGCAGTTTAGTGGCCACTTAAACACGCCTGAATGTAGAAATAGAAGCCACAGGCAGCTGTTTTTTTTTTCTATAAAAAGTTAAGTTTTCTTAAAAGTTAAGATAATGCACACCAGAACACATTGCCACTGACAAAATGTAGTGGACTGAGCAAAGTTTTTAGAAGGCCTTCAGACATATATGCAACCTCTGGTTTGTGCAGCCTTCATCCCTCAGAGCATAACCAGTCCTTAAAATGTTTCCTTGAGGTGGGAATTCTTTTCTTCTTTTCTGAGAAACATGGAGTGTGCATAAAATATCCATCACTGCAGCAAAGCTCCTTAACCACCTTCCGCCCGCCCTATAGTACAATGACGGGCGCAAGGTGGTTCTCTCGTTCTAATAGGACATCATATGACGTCCTTCCATTCTCACTGCGCGCATGCGCGCGGCTCAGGGAGTGCACATTGTGGCGATCGCTGGTCTGCTGTGTCCCTCGGACACAGCGGATCACGGAAAGAGCCGAAGATGTCGGCTCGGTCATGTGATCAGCTGTGTCCAATCACAGCTGATCACATGTAAACATGGAAATGCCGGTTATCGGCATTTCTCTCCTCTCGAGCTGTCATGCTGACAGCTCGAGAGGAGAGGAGAGCCGGTAATCGGCTTTCCGCGGAGGGGACATGTACACTGATTAGAGATGAGCGAAGTATTCAAAAATTCTATTCGACTGATTCGGCGAATTCGTGGAAAAATTTCGATTCGAGTCGAATATATTCGCTGTGAATTTAACTTAAAAAAGGGTGTTTCTAGGCTTCAGAGAGACTTAATATTAGTGCAGAACACTGTACCTTTAATTTAAATGCCCTTGGAGTCTGCTGGGGAAGAGAAATAATACTGTCAGTCAGTATGACATGCAGATGAGTGCCGTCGATCTTAGAATCACCGCACACTTCACTCATTTGGGCAGTCACGGGCCAAAACCAGAGTGTGGATCCACAGTGTGGCGGTGGAGGCAGCAGCAATGGGAGGCCATACAGCACCCTATGACAAAAATGGAAACCACCAGCAGTGTGAGGAGACCTGAAAGTGGCACATGGCAGAGTGTGGCGATAGAGACAGCAGCAATGGGAGGGCCGTACAGGGACCCATGACACACTCTGGACCTGGCAGCAGCATGGGGAGGCGGTACAGGGGCCATGACAGATTACGGGCCTGGCAGCAGCATGAGGAGATTCGGTACGGGGCCCATGACACACTCTGGACCTGGCAGCAGCATGAGGAGGCGGGGTACAGGGGCGCATGACAGATTACGAGCCTGGCAGCAGCAACTGGACAGGAGGACGTTCAGCTTCTGCACCGTTGGGTGCGTGCTCGCAAACTGTTGTCTCTTGGAAACGGATTCCAAGAAAGACTGCTGACGGAATCCGTGAAGAGGAGTAGCAGGAGAAGGAGCATCTGAACGAGCGGAATATGCCAACAAGCGACAACAGGGGCCCATGACAGATTAACGGGCCTGGCAGCAGCATGAGGAGTCGGTACGGGGGCCCATGGCAGATTAGGGGCCTGGCAGCAGCTATGGGAGGCCCGTAATCTGCCAGCACCCTATGACAAAAAATGGAACCCACCAGCAGTGTGAGGAGACCTGAAAGTGGCACATGGCAGAGTGTGGCGATGGAGACAGCAGCAATGGGAGGCCGAACAGGGACCCATGAGAGACTCTGGACCTGGCAGCAGCATGAGGAGGCGGTATAGGGGCCCATGGCAGATTAGGGGCCTGGCAGCAGCTATGGAGGCCCGTAATCTGCCAGCACCCTATGACAAAAAATGGAACACACCAGCAGTGTGAGGAGACCTGAAAGTGGCACATGGCAGAGTGTGGCGATGGAGACAGCAGCAATGGGAGGCCGTACAGGGACCCATGAGAGACTCTGGACTTGGCAGCAGCATGACGAGGCGGTATAGGGGCCCATGGCAGATTAGGGGCCTGGCAGCAGCTATGGGAGGCCCGTAATCTGCCAGCACCCTATGACAAAAAATGGAACACACCAGCAGTGTGAGGAGACCTGAAAGTGGCACATGTTTGGGGCATGATTCATGGCGGATTTAGTCAGTTGTGTCAGGAACTGGTGGTTTGAAATCCAGACTAATCCACGCCTGATTCATTTTCACAAACGTGAGTCTCTCCACACTTTGGGTGGACAGTCGTGTCCTCCGCGAGTTGCAATACCTCCTGCCGCACTAAACACGCGCTCCGATGCCACGCTACTGGCCGGGCATGACAGCCTTTCAAGGGCAAATTCAGCTAGTTGGGGCCAAAGGTCAAGTTTCGTTGCCCAGTAGTCAAGGGGATTGTCTACCTCGGTTGGCAGGGTGCTGTCCAAGTAGGCCTAAGCCTGTTGTTTGAGGTCCTGCTCCAGGTCCACCTGTATGATGCTGCTGCTGCTGCTGCTGCTGGCGGCTGGTTAGTAGTTTCCTCACTGCGCTGGTGAAGAAAGCTACTCATCATCACTGCAGACTGAGGCAGCCGCTGCTGGTGGAGCTGCCACTGCTCCTACCACCCCACCCCCTCCCCTGCTGCCATGGCAGCGAAACGCGAACGCACAGGGCCCACAGTGTCTGAGGATGGACGTTGGCGCAGACAGGCAGAGACCAGCTGACTACATAGGTGTTTTTATAGTACGTTATTTTGGCCTCCCTCTCAGCAGGTGTGAAAAAGGCCACCATTTTTTGAACGGTAGCGAGGGTCCAACAAGGTGGACAGCCAAAAGTCATCCCTCTGTCTGATGGTTATTATTCGGCTGTCGCTACGCAAGCAAGCGAGCATGCTATGGGCCATTTTTGCCAAGGAATGCGAGGGACTCCCTGCCTCCATCTCCACAGCATACTGCCACGGTGCGTTCCTGAGCACCAATGTCCTCCTCTACTCGCCTTCCTCCTCTTCATCCTGTCCTGCCCCCACAGTGTTCATGTGGCGTTGAGATCTGTTGGCGCCACGTCTACCGCACCCCCTGACCTAGGCCATTGTTACAGCATTTGTTCTAGGACGTGCAACATAGAATGACGTCGTTCATCCATATCCTGCCGACTCACGAATAGCGTGGCCTCCCAAAGGGCCTGAGCAAGCGCAGTTGTCACTCATGAGCTGCCAATGGCCTGACATCTAAGTTCCACAGGGAGTACCTTTTTCCCGCTTTTAACATCAGAAATCTGTGATGGCCTTTTGCTGTTCGTAAAGGCTGTCTAACTATGTAGGGTTGAATTCCACCTTGTTGCAACGTCACAAACAGCATGAGAGTCGGTATAGGGGCCCATAGGCAGATTAGGGCCTGGCAGCAGCTATGGGAGGCCGTAATCTGCCAGCACCCTATGTCAAAAATTCACACACCGAGCAGTGTGAGGGGGAGACCTGAAAGTGGCATCATGGCATAGTGTGGCGATGAGACAGCAGCAATGGGTAGGCCGTACAGGGACCCATGACAGACTCTGGACTTGGCAGCAGCATGAGGGGGCGGTATATAGGGGGCCCTTGGCAGAGTAGGGGCCTGGCAGAAGCTATGGGAGGCCCGTAATCTGCAAGCACCCTATTGTCCAAAAAATTGAACACACCACAGTGTGTGAGGAGAACCTGAAAGTGGCACATGCAGAGTGTGGCGATGGAACAGCAGCACAATGGGAAGGGCCGTAACAGGGACCCAAGACAGACTCTGGACTGAGCAGCAAGGGGGGCGGTATATTTGGGCCTATGGTAATTAGGGGCCCCGGCAGCAGCTATTAAAAGGCCGTAATTGCCAGCACCCTATGGGCAAAAAATTCAAAAAACCAGCAGTGTGAAAGGGGAAACCGAAAGGGGGCACATGGCAGAGTGGGCGATGGGAAAACAGCACAATGGGAGGCCCCAAAAGGGGCCCATGACAGAAATCCCGGGCTTGGGAGCAGCATGAGAAGGCGGAAAAAGGGGACTAAAGGCAGATTAGGGGCCCTGGCAAACAGCTATAGGGGGCC